GGCATACAACGATTGTTATTTAAAACAAATTTAAACTAAAAGCTCTTCTTCAGCAATAACAACGTCTTCAGTAAAAGCTAGTTCGTGGATATATGACAATCAGTATCACACTAATAAATCCTAAGTATGATTTCGAAATAATATTTAATACTCAAGTCAAATTTACAAGAGAAATTATCTTAAATCAACTAGATATTTTTCGTCATTTCCATCTTCTGACATCGAAATGCTTGATAGATTGTTTAGATTTCCTCTTATATGGCATCGTATGACAAATGCCAAATTAGTTATTACCCGCAAAGTGAGGTTATGTTGTCTGGTTAAAGAAAAAATAAAATAAAATTTAAATCATATTACATTAAAGTGTTTATTATTTCTGCTTCAATGCACTTATGACAATCTCTTTCCAGTCATTATTTGAAGAAGAACTCTCTAAAAGTAGTTATTTCCAATCAATACCTTATTTTATCTAACAGAACGAAGTAATATTAGTTCATACAATTAAGTCCATGATAAACATTTTGATTTACTCCCAGGGGTTCATTAATATCACGAAAATATTTTATTAATGTATATGATTGAATGCTGGTTGTCTAGGATCTACTGACATAGACAAACGAATTTGTAAGCCTGATGTTATAAAGCATCCTCAACCATTTTTTGTTGTTGTAAGAATGATCATATACATCAGGCAATTTTATTTCCTTTAGAACTAATGTATAAAATTCCGTTATTTTCTCAAGTTTTACTTTTTTTATTATGTACAGAATACTACTGAAATGATCTGGAATTATAGTTTTTCTTACTAATAGCTAAAATGCTGCACTTTCTATCGGAATATTGACATAAGGTGTTTTTGGAGAATTTGTAGATATTTTTTAAAATGTCAAAGTGAGTTAGTATTTACACTTAACAAGATCATCTCATAAAATCCCTTTTTAAGGAATGTCTGGAATGCGTGTAGACATCAATAACAAATTAGCTTTTTAGTGCTGACTGATTTCCGAATGAAAACATTGTCTAGTTTAAAGCAGAAATTTAAATTTGTTATGAATATTTAATTTACAGAGTTTTTTCAAGATATGCAGTATTATTTTTAGATAATGTAGATAAATCTTTGCCTCATACGTCATACACACGAAGTTCTTTTCATACTAGAGAAGTTAAAACTGAACTCTTCTAGATGCTCTAAAACCAGTTTATGAATTCCAAATTTCTACACTAAAACATTTGTTTACTTGTTTATGTATTCAATAAACTGTTTAATACATGTGATAATTCCACATCTTTACTACTGAATAATTGTTTTCTATGTACAAGGGAAAAAACGAGAGTATCGATAACTATTACGTAAATAAATAAAATTATGTTAGAAAAATCCTTAGTCAATACCGTTGAGATTGATGTTTTGATGTGCTGATGACCTAATAATTCTGTGAGGGAAACGTTACACACTTTCAACACTGAATGATAGCCTCACCGTCGCGAACTTATTTTGAAAAAAATCTATCGAGCTCAAATTGTAAGGGTAAGTTAGATAGTATTCGATTATATGTTGATTTCTTGATTCAACTTTATGAAGTTATTGATGCGTAGTGAAGAAAATTCTTAATTTAAGTGAAAATGGCTGCTTAATGATCTTTGGAATGTTTTGGTTTCATTTGCAAATATCAGTTTATGGAAATTGTTATCTTCAAGCAGGTGGAACAGAGTTGACTCAACATATATTACAGACGATTATTTTGATAATATTGATTTAATATTTTATGAAAATCATATTCCATGAAGTTTTTTCCATTTCTTTCATTTCACATGAGGATTTATAATTTAAATTAAAGAAGTGTAACTTTTAATGTAGTGATTCAGAAATTATTCATTTTACAGTCCTCTACTTATATAACTTTTAGTGATTCAGGAACACCTAAACCAGCTGGCTCCATGTATCAACAGAATATGAATTAGTTTACATAACTTTTCAGAAGTGTTGAAGTACGTTGAATTAATCAAATTGATTATATCGATAATACTATAACAAGTAGTATTCTAAATGTCTTCAAAAGTTTGTATTCACTCTCATGAATACCTAGTTAACAGGAATTTTTAAAAAATCTACTTTGTTTTTCGAAAATTATTTCATCGGTATCTGAATGTGTAAAACTATAATTTTAAACAAATCACTTGTATATTTCTATTCTTAGCTCAGTTGAATGATTTGATTATCCGAAGTCAACCATTTTAAATTTTATTCATCTTAAAGAAATAGCTCATTACGTATAAGTCACTAAATGTGGTAGTTACATTTTCCCAATTTAACACCTTATAAAAAAAGAGGGTCTATCGATTTCATTTAATATAGTATACAGTTGATAGTTGGTTAAAATAATTACTCACTACACATGTAGTATTTAATAAATTTGTGTAACCAACCATAACGTTTCTCTTGTTTTACTTTTCCACATTCAGTTAATGAATTTCCATATGACGTTAAGATCAAAATTATAAATCATGTTAGGAAATCAAGTGATATGAAATATTAAAGTCATTAAAATAACCAATCTATATAAATTCATAGAAAGTTTAGAATGAAGTTTAAAAAATATTAATGATCATGAATCATTCTGTGATTCAGATCAGTAGCCATGATCTTGATCAATTGATATTTAGTCTGTATGAGGTTTAAGTTATCAGAACTGTTAAAACGAATTATTCCTCGTTACATTTAAACAAATTTTATACTTAGCTAGAAAAAGTAACCTATTTGGAATAATGATCTTTCAAGAATGAATAAAACTTTATTAAAATGTGTGAAACTATCACCACAGTGAATAAAGCTGGTGATTTATTGTCACTGATGGTTCAACTTATTAGTCAATTATCGTCATACAAAAGTACGTACGAACGCATCTGTGAAGGTATTTAACACACATGGTATTTAATATATTGGATTGTATGACGTAATCTATAAAGGGTTCAGATACAGGTAATTTTCAAACCATTTATCGATTATATCAATGTACTGTATTTTCCAGACGAATACGTTATTTATTATGTAGCTAAATATGCGACTTAACGGTATTAATAACCACTATAATCGAATTGAATTTCTGGCATAAATTTCCTTGTGAATACATTTTCTCCGCCTTTATATAGACTTCATTTGGTTAAATAATAGTACAATAAACTTCTAACTGAAAAGCTTAAGGCTACAGTACTTAGCTAACGTACAGGATTTCTTACCTAGCACTGATTTAGTTTTTCTTGCCTTTCCTAACTCTACAATTTGCGTGAAAAATCAAGTTTAACTTGATCGTCAAGTGATAAATTCTCAATTTACAAACTGTAAACTAATAATAAAATTCTTTTTTAATGAATAAAAGTTTTCTTCGGAAAATATTTTGAAACATCCTAATTATTGATACTGAGATGAAAGACTGGCTTGTTCGTACCGGCTGAACACAAATCTATAAAATCCTATAAAGAGTAAGCTTGACAAAATATGTCTTTAATATTCTCAAATCAATAAATTTTTCACTCTACAAAAAAGAAAGACATTAACGCTGATGGATGCCAGCTCTGTGATCTAGAGGTTAGGTGTTTGCGCGTGAGACCGAAAGTCCTGGGTTTGAATCCTGCGAGCGGGATTGTGAATACGAAATGATGAGGAGTCTCATACTAGAATGAAAGGGCCGTCCAGTGTTTCCAACTTTTTTTCATGGTGATCTAGCTTTAATAGGCTGATGAATTCAACTATTAAAGAGAGTTTCATTTAATTTCGTCTTCAAAGGTAGCAGAAAGTGACTTGAATCATGTATATAGAACAATATAATTGATAAAGCTTCACAATTGACCGCAGTTATTTTGGTCTGAATTTTCAAAATATTTAAAAGTGTTTGTCAAAAACAATTATTTCTTTCATCTAAACCAGGAAAACAAATCATTTTGATGAAATATCAGTTAATGTATCAATGTACTCGGTTTGATAGTACCTTTTCAAACTATATATATATAGCCGATCTATAGCCGACAAAATTTTCACTCAAATGGATTGATAAAAATCTGACAGGGTTGCTTAACCGTGAACAGAATGTATAACAATAAAATTCGAAATTATTTCTAACATTGTTAAATTTTTTTTCTTCATTATGACAGTTACTACCATGGACATTATAAGAGAATAAGTAAAAATGATAGAAAAGCAGATTTTAGTCCACGGTTTTGCAACCCTGTCAGATTTTATTAATCCATTTGAGTAAAAATTTTGTCGGTTATAGATCGGCTATATACATATTAAAATAGAAACCTGAATGAGAAGTTAGGAAAAATATGTACTTACGAAAGTATTTATTAATTTTCATTGATCTATTTATATAGTATCGATGAAATAATTTTTTGATTGTAGTATGATATAAAAATGTAAGCTCATCATTTTTTTGATCATATGTATTTATTCTTAAACTAATCATAAAGAGAATATAATGATGAATAGGATTAGACGTTTTGTGTTTAATTTGATATTTATCAGTATGGAGTTGTAGAGATTGTTACGTTTTTCGATTGAGATCATGAATCGATTGATGTTAGAACATCAATAAAAACATGGAAGCACTAGATGGCCGTCTCTTCCTACTATGGGACTCTTCATTCGTGTGCATCCACGATCCCGAACGAGGGTTTCGAACACAGGACTTTTAGTTTGATTTGCAAGTACTTAACCTTTAAACCATTGAGCTAGCATCCAACAGTAATAATGTGTAACTTCAAACAATCCACGAAATTGCTCGACGAACTTCCATTGGACTAAAGGTTAAGTGTTCATGCATGAGACCTATGGTTTATACTATGACGAAATGGCCATTTAGTGCTTCTATGTTTTCAATGGTAGTCTAACATCAATTAATTCATAATCTTAATCAAAAAAAACAACAATAATATAATATTTGTCTACATACATATAATAAATAACATATTATTTCCATTTAATATAAAGATTTATAACTTACCTATAGTAGTAACAACAGTAACAGCATATAATAAAGCTCCAGTCAATGTCCAAGGATCTCGATATTCTTCAATAATACCAATTGTAGATAATCTATTTGAATAATTATTAATTTGATTAATATTATCACATAAACATTTTGTTTCATTTAAACAATTACATATAGTATTGATTTGATTATTATTATTACTACTATCATTACCACTACTACTACTAATATTATTAATAATAATAGTTTCTAATGTACAATTATTATATTGATAACATTGTGAATAAATATTTTGATAAGTTTTATTATTATATATGAATAAATTATTCATTGAATGTACAGGTTTCCAACCTGAATTACATGCATCATATGTATTATAGATTAATTTTTCAATGAATTCATTTATTTTCAATAAAATATAATCAGTATAATAATTTAAATGGATTGTTAAATTTTTATATAATTCATTCAATATTAATTGATTATTGATTAGAATAGAATTTGTTTGATTGATTGGTATAATTGGTTTAATTAATTTTTGATTAAATTTTTCTAATTCCATTTTAAATAATTCTGGTTTTATTGAAAAACCATAATAAATCAATATATTGATTATATCATTTTTCCATTTTATCTCATTAGAATATAAATATTTTACATGATTCATACATAATTTTAATGATTCATGATGATAATTCCTAATTAATTGTTGTATATTTTTATGATTATAAATTAATTCAGTAGTATAATTATGTATAATATTTGATTGATTATTTTGTTCAATTAAACGAAATAAAAATGCTCCTAATGTACAATAACCAACTACAACTAAACAAAGACCAATATGAGAAAATAAAAATGCAATTAATGATTTTAAATATTTTTTAAATTTTTTACATTTTAAATTTGATTGTTTTTGTTTCATTATTAAATTATTATTATTATTTTGTTTTAAATCATGAAGACGATCCGATGGATTAGATAATTGATTCAATGTATACATACGTCTACCTTTTATTGAACGTAATGATGAAGAAACTTTATTATTCGATTCATGTTTTTCAGGTGAATCGATTGATTTATCTGTTATTTTTTCAATTAAAATATTATGTTTTTCATTGATGATATTTTTAGTTGTTTCATCATTTTTTGGTATTTGAGATTGATTAAATTCATCATGAGATTGATTTGAAGTATTTTCTAATAAACCTTCATTGGTATCATTTAACTTAATTGAAATAGTTTTATTTGAATCCATTGGTTTGCCAATGATTGATGAGTTCTCTGATGATGTTTTATTCGATTCTAATAGATCGGATTTATTGATAATTTTTTCTTCAGTATCCATAATACGTTTAAATCGTGGAATGTTGGATTGTGGTACTTGAGTTGCAACAAAGTGTACAGTGGTCATAATGATAAAAACAAAGAAAAATATGTTTAAGGAAAGTTTTGATGATATTATTGGAAAATTACGTTCAAAACTGTTTACATACAGTTGTAAAGTAATTGGAAATTAAACTGGGAGTTAAAGCAGTTTATATATATATAATGGAATAACCAATTATCTATAAGATATACAAATATGGTAATAATTTAATGTTGATTGGTCGTACGAAAAGAGAATGTGGAGATATCCCATAAATATCTTAGAAAATTTGTAACAAAATGAATTAAATATAACTTTTGTAAAAGTGTTGTTCCAAAGAAAATTTCTGTTTCATATATATGATGATTCCAAAATACATTATACTATTCAGTTATATTAGAACAGACAGGTATTATACAAAATAATGACGAACCACGATACAGTTTTTAGTATAGGGTAAGGATACTATTGGTTTAAAGCTGATTTAATCTACAGTATATTAGTCAACAGTACGTCCGTTAAGAGACTAAAGCAATGATCTAGAAGGATGTTTAATTAAGTCTATGAATATGACGTTGGATATAAAGTCGTTTTATCTAGATTTTTCTTAAAGAACAATGATAAACAAGTGCAAATTACCTTGTTCGTATTGTTTGAAAAAAATGTACTGTCTATCACATAGATTATTTCCGCCTAATACATTCTAAAAATGTTATACTCATTGATCAAATATAAATCGAATTTATAGTTGAATTCATGACTCAATTAACACTAGACCACCACAGAACACCTGGAAGCACTGGATCACCATTTCTTTCTAGTGTGAAACTCCTCTGCAGTATGAACGAAGAACCTCAGATTTCGCGCGCGAACGGTCAACCTTGAAACTACTGAGCTGGTATTCAACGGTGTTATTCTCTAACTTCAACAATCTCCAAAAAAGCCCAGTCTGAAAAGTCGATTTCAAAAGAGCTTTTTAAAGTTTTTTAAATATCATCACTCGTTTAAGATGAACAGATAGGCAGCTATAAACTAGAATAACTAAAAATGTGTAAAGTATAGGTTAAAATATATTTCAACAGCAAATATGAATCTATTGATCATTTTTAATCTTATTAAAAATGATAAAAACGATCAACTCTTTCTACTCTGTGTTAAACTTTTATCTTTACATGTTCATAATGTTAAAGACTTTTAGTTGAGCAATAACAAAGAGACTATAAACAGAGTTTGTGATCCTAATCATAAGATAGTCATTTTTAATAATTATACATTATTTAAGAAGAATATTACCGTTCATTGACTTTTGGAAAGAAAGCCGAAATTTCATTTTTAATGCATTTGTGAGTTATGAAAAACAATCAACGTTTAGTTAATCAATGAAGTTATTCAACATTACTGAAATTCATAATGTTTTCGAGTGTCGGAAAATTGCTTATATCATAGTACTTTAGATTCAGAAGATATTATAAGTTTCTATGATAAAAAAAAGCATCAGTCAGATAGGCAATAAAAAGTCATTTATATTATAATATTTACAGAAATGGATAAGAAATTTGTTTCTAAGATAAATATCAATTATTTATTGATTAAGAATCGAGTTTTACAGTAATGTATATGTTTATGTTAATCATTTTAATGTTAATTTGCTTGTCACGGAAGTTTGAAACCATCCAACTTCGATTTAACTTACATTCATCTTCTAAATAAATTACACTTACGAAAATATAAAAAAGAGGTTCCGGCCAACCATTCTATGTTTCTTAATCAAAAAACTGTCATAAATATAATTATAACTGTGACTAATGTAAGCTATTATTAAAGTTTTATTCAGAAAGTATTAAATAGATATTGTTTTAAAACTCATACTTCACCACTATTTTCTTTAATTTTGATGCTTTTGAAAGAAACTTTCTATACATACATCGTTTTTACAAAACATTTTGATGATAACCAATATATTATACATGAATATGTGGTTATTTTTGTTAAGTATTAGTATACTGTATAAGCGCCTTTCCATTTTTCTTCTTAGAATATCATGCATGAATACTCGTTAAAGATGCGTTCATCCAGTAAGATTAAATGGGTAGTAAAGGTTAATATATATAAGATTTCCACCTCTTCTAAGAATTTTCAGCTGGATGTATCTGCGTCGGTGTTTATTTTCAGCTACAACTTGAACTTAGAACCAATCGTTTCAAATTCAGAACGCTACAAACGATTAAATTCAAATAGCTACCAAATTGCTCAACGATTAAGATATTTATTATTATTTATTAAGGATTTTATTTTCTCATCCCTGATATTCTGGACAGAATTGTAGTAGTCTCTATTTTCTTCGAATGGCAATGCTAAAAATAGGATATTGTTAGAACACAAATCGGACAGGTACAATTTATTAAATTTAAGTCACTATCTCTGATCAGAGAAATTCGTCCATTGTTTTCATTTCAATCTTTTAATGTTGTTTGGTTAACCTGAAGTGAAGTGGCTAATAATAACAAAAATAACCTATAATAATACATTGGAAGAAATAGATTTTGGTGGCTAGTGTCACTCCGTCACTCAATAACATGAAGATCGGATGAATAATGGAGACAAGTATCAGTGTCGTCGTTAGGAAGAACACGAGTGTATTCAGATGAGAGAGTAAGCTACATATTTCTCACCTACTTGACAAGTGAATAAAAGTGAAAAGTCTACGGTAAAATATGTTTAAATATAATAAAAATCCTGTAAGACAATTGTTGAGTCGGCTTCCGAGAACTACAACGAAGCCTCCAGAGGCCCTAAAGGAGCCGAAGAGTTCCGGCCAACCAGAGCATGATGCAGCTTTCTAGAATATCAACGTGGCATGCTACTATTGGCCAGCAGCATAATATGTCTCTTAGCGGATTGGCCAAAATATAATGATGATTTAACAAAAGTTAATATCTATAACTACCCGTGCTTTTCTGTACAAAAATGAACCTTTGGAGTACAGTGCTTCTCGCATATTTTGCGTCTTTTCTCTCGTGTTCAGGTCGCTGTGTAGTTCTAGCTTGGGGGTTACTAGAATAGATTAGGAACCGAATAAAGCGTTGAATTAGCAAGATTTATCAACATTTACATATAGTATCCTATGGTTCAGAATATACCGTTACAAATTTAGTTATATTATCCTCGGTTCTATCAAATTTAAATTTTCGCCTATTGCAAATACGGAGTAATATTTGTTTGAATTACAGTGAGAATGAACATAATACTACTTTTAGGATTTTGATTTGAGATAGTTATTTTTTGTGACGAAATATTGTCTCATCAGAATCTCCAATCAGTGCATTTCAAGGTATAAAAGTGTCTAAAATAATAACATCCAGCTTAAACTTGAACTAGGGAAAGAAAAGTAAGATCTATTTCACTACAAGATAAAGATATGCCAAATCTTCCAGATAATTCCTGTTAGGAGCATAGTGACCAACATTAATAAGTCTTTAAATTAAAGTAAGATTAGTGTTTGAAGACAACGCATCATTTTAATCTAGTGTAATCAGAGTAATAACGTCGATTAGGTATGTAAACTATATTCAACTGTATACAATTGTAGTTGGTTTCTAACGTTTGCTCACATCTAAAGCTTGTGATTAAAGGCAATATCGATGCAATCCACATAGGATGCATATATGTCAACAAGAGGCTGATCAATTACAGTCATAAACAACAATGAGAAGATACAAGTAAGCAACATCAAGTGAATTCAAAATAGTGATTACTTCATAAATACAGACACTGCTGTATGTATTACATTTTTATCATAAGATAATTTATGTAAACAAAAATAACTATACTGATATTGTAATGGACAATAATTTATTATCTTAAAAGTTCATCTACAAACTGCTATAATCACATTCTTTCAAAATGTAACTTATTAGAACAATAGTGGTAGTAGTAGAATGAAATATTAAATGATTAAATAACCGAAGAATAGGATATGTTACTTACCATTGAATAATATGAAATGGTAAACAATACTTTTTATTGTCCTTGTAGGTAATGTTACATATAGCGGTAGAAATTTTAGAAAACACTATCTTATTTGTAACTGTGATAAATTATCGAGATTATATAATGAAATGAATCATAATATAAAATCCCTACTCTTTTAACGTTATAGATAACAGTCTTAAATGTTAATATATAAAATAAAACTAAGAAAAGATTCATATTTACATATACGATAGTAATATTATCATTGGTTAATTTCAACCTTTAACAGAACTGCGTCATATATATATATATATATATATATATATATATATATATATCAAATTTAAGGTCATTGATTTAGTAAACAAATCATATTAAATAGTTTAACACTTCACATTGGAATTTATAAACAAACATGGCATAATGACATTTATTACGATTACTGACTTTTTCTCTGAATGAAAATTTTCGTTGGATAATAAATTATGGAATCGATTTCTCTCTTGATATTATAACACGAAAGACTACATTTCTATTTTTCGATTTTTTTCTAAAACACATTTAGATAATTAATGAATATTATCAAAAAGGGTTTTGTGGAGATTTTAGTAATTTCAATAATTGGAATCATGAGTTAATTAAAGCTAGACCACTATAGAAAACCTGGAAGCACTGAACGGCCGTTTCATCCTAGCGCGGGACTCTTCAGCAGTGCTCATCCACAATCCCATTTCACGAGATTCAAACACAGGATCTGTCGACCTCGCACACAAACGCCTAACATCTAGACGATTGAGCTGGCATCCAACGGTGTTAATGTCTAACTTCAACTAATCCACGAAGTTGCGCCACCGTCCATCATTGTCTTTAGTGAATTGATATCTCACAAAAGACCCGGTTGAACTCCACTGGTCACTGCTTCTCACTAGAACTCCAGGAAATGTATCTTGAAATGCCTCCAGACTTTCGATAGTGGTCTAGCTCCAATTGACTTATGATTTCAACTATTGAAATTACTAAAATCTTCGCAAAATCCTTTTTGAGAATAATTAATAATTAAATAATTTTGAAATTATGTTGATTTCAATAGCTGAATTCAGCCTAGGGATCTTGGAAACGTTACTACTAAACATTAACTGTTTAATATTAACTTTTGAATATTAACCATGCAATTAGTTAATTTCATTCAGTTG